AATGCCGATTGCCCGATGATCTCGGGTTGCTATTTGAGAACCAAAAATTTAGCGATGTAACGCTCACTGTCTGTGGAAGAGAGTTTCACGCGCACAAGGCGATTCTCGCAGGTGAGACTTCGCTCTATTGAGAAACTCTTATGCTATTATGCTAAATGTAAAACGATGATATACAAAATGAGAATCTTTTACTGAATAAATGAAAGAAAAGAGAACTTTTTCTAACCGAATAAAATTATGAATAAATTGATGTCTCTAAAACAAAGTTTGATTTATTTGCAGCACGAAGTCCAGTTTTCTCAGCAATGTTTGAACATGAAATGGAAGAGAGAAAGCAAAATCGTGTGGATATCACCGACGTAGACCACGAGGTATTACGAGAAATGCTGCGATTTATCTATACCGGTAAAGCGGCTAATTTGGAAAAGATGGCGGACGATCTGTTGGCTGCAGCGGACAAGTATGCGCTAGAGAGGCTAAAAGTGATGTGCGAGGAAGCACTTTGCACGAGTTTAGCCATCGAGAACGCGGCCGAAATTCTCATACTTGCCGATCTCCATAGCGCTCTTCAACTCAAGGAGCAAGCGATAGACTTCATTAATACGTAAGTTTTTGCAGAGAAAGAAAATTTTGTCGCAAAATGTGATATTTTGGCTCATCATCGGCTAAAAGAGATAATTTTGCTCCTTAAGGATCAAAATTATATTTTTTAACTGTGCTAAGAATGCACACGCGCGACGGATCTTGGCCATCTCTAATCCACTCGCGAATGCTTCTTGCAGACATGCGACAGACGTGATGGATACTCAAGGTTTCAAGTCCATGGTAAACTCCCACCCGCACTTAATAGCGGAAGCTTTCCGGGCGCTGGCAACTCAGCAAATCCCACCGGTCGGACCGCCCAGGAAACGGGTGAAACAGAGCTGAAAGCAGTCACCGCTGACCCAGGGCATGACCTCCACATCGCCCCCACCACTTTTACATCCCTCTTGAACCTTTGTGTACAGTGATATAACGAAGTATAATAGTAGTGCTAAATAAATGTTTCCTAGTGCGCCACCCTCTGGTCTAAACAGAAAAAAAAGAAAAAAATCAACTCCGAAAACGCGAGAACCAACTGACTGTCTACGAGCTTTGGTTGAGAATGTCCAGAGATCGACGGGAGGAAGAGAAGAACCGTCTGGTCCGTCCGGTCGGTCGAGGGCGAGTTTAAAAAAGCGCATTCCCATACGTGTGCCCAGACTCTTGTGTTCAAGTGAGTGTCGGTAGTGAAGAGAATTCGGCATGATACGATCACATCAGTAGTGCCGTGCGTCGAAGAGGAGAGAGACATCTCTGGAAATCTACACACCCACACTCACATCCTCACATCCCACCAGCAGACGTATCAAACTTCTCGACCGGCCTGTGCGCGAGTCGATTTCATCGTAGCACTATGAACGAGCAACAACGCGTTCATTCTTCTTCAATGCCAATGCCGATGCCAATCGATCAGTTCTCAGTGATACAATGGGATGTGTCGCCAGGAACGTGTCATCATCATCATCATGGTTTTGTTTCGTTTCCGTTACCAATAAACGAACAAACTGAAAGCATACGGCCGCCCGCGAGATGTTAAAGAGTATATAACCAGAGAGGACCAAGGAGGCGAGGAGTTTCTCTCCACGTGGCTCGTCGCCATAAATTGCCGCAACGACAACAAAGCGCGATGCACGAAGGGAGTTGTGATAGACGTCGGCCAGACGATTAAATATTTTGTTCCTTTGTCGAAAGAAAGAAAAAAAAGAATGGGTCAAAGGGGGATGCCCCCGTGGCGCCGTTCGCTCGACGCGTCGAGCAGCACGGAGAGAATTAGATACTTTGTTTGTTTCTACCGATAGTAGTGATTTTTTTAGTTCTAGCGCGTCTCAAACTCTTCCAAGACGGAGAAATCATTCTAGTTAGTGTTCTTTTTTTATGATCTCTTTCTCTGAAACATATATATCTACGGTTATTATTATTATTATTATTATTATTACTATTAACGCTACGCAATCCGTGCCCTGTGTATTTTTGTATATTTTTTGTCTAAAAGTATAAAAATATCTTTCCCTTCCTCTCTTTTTGCGGCGATAAACCCTACTCCAATTTCCTATCCCCTTCTCCCCTCCCGTATCCCACGTCGGTAGGCACAGTTTGTCTTGTTTTCTGAAGTATTGCATACTGTAAGTGAAATGATAGAATCGAATTATTATTATTATTATTATTATTATTATTATTATTAATGATTATGTTATTAAATTTAGGGTTGTCCATAATTTATCGAATCTATGTTAAATATTGCGGGAATGTCTATTATACATTTCCGTGCGCACGCTGATTGCGTTACGTTATTTTAGAAACATTACGCGATACGCAATTTAAAGTTGGTAATTGTAAATGGATGAGAGAAGAATAAAAAATAAATCAGGTTAAAAGAATTATAGAAAATAAACGTTGATCAATTTATACAACGCGATGTTGATAATTTTCGTCTTTCTTAATTTTCTTTTTTGTGTCATTAATTTGATTGGGCTGTAAAATTATATATGGTCAATGAACTGAATTATGGGCAACCACACAAGAGGCAAAAATAATAATCAATCGTTTAGTACTGGCTTCCTGATCCTCCGATCTTTTTAGCTTTACCGAGAGAAACCGAGTTTTAAATATGTGAAATGCTTATTACCATTTACACATTAATGATGACGATTAATGCCATACATGTTCTGTGATAAGACCACTGTAATTACTGCAATTGTGTGTAATCAATCCTTTTTAGAGACAGATTTCCCCTGACGATCCTGGCAGCCAGTGAATATTTACTTGTTATACAAAATACAATACAATAAGCGAGTCGTTATCCGGACAGTCCCAAACCTAGCGCGTCACTTTCCATTTTAAGATTTTTACACACTGTACATATCTGCTGTGTATTTTATATAAGAACTGAATGCAAATTTCTATACGAGAAGGATCCAATACTTTTACGAAACTGTACAATAATTAATGTGCATATAATTTATTTTGATTTTACAGATTGCGCTAAACTCATGTTCCTTGAACACGCTACCAATACTTTAATTAAATATAACATAAAAAAATTTATACAGATTAGGAAGTATACACATTCATTGTAGCATCAAATAATAAGACTATCAAAGAAATTGAATTGATGATGGAAATCTAGTTAGGAGAACTTTTCCACTGTTTTTCTACTCCAATCTCTTAATTTGAGTCTTAGGTCTTAATAGGGCTTCAATGACAAGAGAAATAAGAGACGAAAATAAGTATAGTAGCAATTTAAGGAACAGATTTCGGCCGTTACTCATTCATATTTTAAAAATTCGCGACTATTCTCTCGTTCTCGTATCTATCTTTGGGACTGTGCGGCGATTTCTTTCGTGGAATACACGTATCACGTTGTGAATATCTTTTCCTAGGGAAGAAAGAAAAAGAGAAAGAGAAATGGAAAGCAAAAGCAAATTTCGATAATAAAATAGCAAAATCCGTAAAATACAGATCAAAGAAAAAAAAAACACAGATGTAGGCGCAATTTCGCGTGTAAGAACCGCAACAAAAAAGAATAATATGAATGTATGACTGGATATATAATTTGATAAACTATTAAGTACAAGTAAGAGACAAGTGTTACCTCATCATGATGAAAGCCGGCGCGTGTTGGCGACCGATCGATCACACCACTCGCTACTACCAGCCGCTACCACACGCCCGCTCTCTGATACATACACACATATATATACACGAATACATACTTCCGTTGTATATTGCATTTAAAAATCCGAAGCGCTGTTTTGTAAAACAATGAATGGTGGCGGCGGTAGTGGTTGATTTCCGAGAAATTGTTACGCGCGCGCCATTCATTAAACCCAGCTCATACAGACATTCATTTTCCATTTTACTTTAAGTCATTGCACCACATCAAATAAATGACATTTTCATTATATAATTGTGGGGCGTAATTTTCATCACCCTTCACTGCTACAATGTTGCGATATTGTGCCTTTATTCGAGATGTAAGAAAAGAACTGCGCAATTTTTTATCATGTCAGACAAAAAAAAAGGAAAAAAAAATTTGAATTTTTAAAAATTTTAGACTTAAAGAATGACAATGTAATTTAACAACCTGTGTTTTTCGCACGCGATTTATATCCTGCTTCTGATTACATCGAAACGATAAGAGTAGAAAATTTCTTTTGAGTTGAATCTACAGGCTACATTTTTTATTAAAATAGCATATCTATACAGAAATATATAGGGAATTATCATCTATATGTATATCTACAGAAATATTACGTTAAATGTGTTGAGCGATGGAAGAAGCAACGAACGTGGAATTTCTTGAAGAGAATTGGTCGTTGGTGTCTTGGGATCTCTCTTGCAGTTTCGGCGTTCCTGGATACGACGGCGGAGCTTCCTGCATAGATGCCTGTAAAAAATGTGTCATTTTATCATCAGGAAACATTTTAACGTTTATCTTTCGTCATATCGTGGTGAGTCACAAAAATGTGCACACATATACACATATTTTTATCACAATTAATGGATTAAAAACGGATTAAAATTTATATACCCTGTTATAGGGAGACGTGTAAAGAGGAGGAGCATTGTAAGCCATTTCGTTGTACGGAGGTGGTCTGTCCCGTAGGTCTTCGATAGTACTGCATTGCGTATCACGCTCCTCTTGTAATGCAATGGATCGTGTACGTTGCCTCGACCTGTGGAAATCCGGGAAATATTAAAATATTTTATCTTGCGGAATTAATTAACTTTTTAGTAAAAATGATTTTTATTTTTGACGGTTAACGAGAAAAATCAAAATTTGTGATCACCCAGAAACTATGGGATAAAACACACGTGAGAAAAATTTTATCACTGATAAAATAATATTGGTAAATATAACTAGAATATTAAAAAGATTCAACAATACAATTATAATGCTTCTTTGTTCTGATGCCATCGATAAAACGCTATCAATTAAGATCAATATGCGAAAGTAAAAAAGAAAAGATACCGAATTTTGATGACAAAGCTATATTTACAACTATGTGATTATGAATTTATTACAATTTATTATAATTGCGTTTTATATGATAGCAAGAACGCGAGAAATTCAGAAAAGCGAATTTATCGGACGCGTTCATACCTATGGCATATTTTGCAGTAAATTAAGATTAAGCCGATGAGACCAAACCCGAACAACATGAAAATACTCATCTGCGTTATTGTTGTGAATCGCTGTTGCATTTCCCTGAAATAAAAATTTTCGCTTCCTAGAAAAATTGATCCTGTTATTCATAAAAGATAAGAGGCATTGTAACATATGAGTGTGCAAGACACTCTTACCAACACAAAGTACAATCATAGCAGGAACAGCATGAAATGCCAGAACAACAGATTACACATCTGTCTGCAAAAAGCAAGAAGAAAGTAAAGCAATGCAATATAGATATTTAAAAAGATTAAAAAAATACGTGCAAAAGTTTTGATGTAAACTCACCAAGGTAATTCTTCCAGCAAGTACACGTTTTCAATTTGATGTTATATGCACTACAATTCTCCAAACTAATCTCCCAGGAAGTATCTAAATCTGTGAAAATAAGAAATATTTTTTATATTTTAGAAATATTCTGTTAAAAAGTCAATAATATTTTCCACATTGATCTGTATAATAATTCATTCACACTGTTGTCGTATATTAGTGACAGAAAAATTAAAAAGAATATATACACTCTATATATAAAAACATAAGAATTGTTACATACCTGAACTCTTTGCTGGACATATATATGCAATATAAAAATATAAATATCCCAATAATAACACCTTCATCACATCATATTTGTATATAGATGAACGAGCAGCCATTTAGATTATCCAAATATCGCTTACACTCAGCATAATTTATAATTAATTACAATTTGCTATAGTTGATTATGCAAAACAATGCCACTATGGACAAAAAAGTACTTTCACAAGCGGAAACATATTAAGATAAAACAAATGGCCACTTCAAATACAAATATACTTCTGACTCTGTACTGTTTAAAGTATGATATTTATGCTCGTACTATTAATCTTATCAATATGGATGTCTGATAACATACGTAATCAGGGGTTTCAAAGAGGAATAGGTATTTCCTTATATTGATAATCACAAAATCACTTGTCCCATTAATATTGCCACATTAAATTTTGGTAAATATTACCTTTAATAAATATTCTCTATAAATGTATAAATGAATATATAAATGTATCTATTTATTTACTTATTTTTTTATAGATATAGTAGAGAAATTTCTTCATAAAGGCAAATGAGAATGAAAACATTAATCAAAGGTTTCTAATCAAAATCTGATTGTATAATTTACAATAGAATTTAGAGTTTTGTATGTCGGAATATTCTACATTCTATACAATATCAATTAGTTAATGTTACTAATGCGTCTACAATATCTCCTCTGTGTTCCCTGAGTGTCTGTTCGGCTAAAACTCGACTAATCTCCATCTCTTTCATCTGAAATAAAGATAAGTTTTTTTAGTTTGTTTGAATTTCCAATAATCAAGCAGAGAATATGTATAATAGTTTTATACTTACAATTAAATCAACATCTTCCTTTTTTATAGATACTTTGAGCAGTTCCTTCTCTTTGGCCTTCTTTTCTGCGGCTTCCTTATTTCGACGATCACCGATTATACTGAGAGCCTGTTAGACATTTTTAATGTGAAAAACAAAATTAAAAGTTGGTACATGTAAAAACAAAACTAAACAATACGAAGTACATAAGTAGAAAGAATAAGTTACACCTTAAATTATCTGAGACAATATTTCTGATCTAGAATTCTTTTTTTTTTTTTTAAGGTGTATAGCTCCGCTGCATAAAGATGTAATGACTTTGGAAAATTGTTTCATTGTATTCATTCGCACTTTGAATTTATGAAAAAAACGTAAACGTAAACGTACGATCGAGGATCGTGATGCACGTGTAAACAATGACCCATGCTTACACAAGAAAATCCATCGGAGGATGAAATCTCCTTTTCCTCGGCATAATCGGTCACCTTCTCCAAATCCGCCGCGCCGCTATCATACTTGGCTGCTTTTTTCTGAGACTTTTCCTGCTGTACATCGTCAGAATCTCCATTCACATCGTCATCCGCCATTTTTTAAGTAAGACATGCATGCTATTAAACTCCGTACCATAGACATAGTATATCTAGACCGAGCGTTTGCCTTTATTTAAGGAGTGGGGGCCGATGCCCACGTAGAAAAGGACGTACTCTGTTTCGTGCCCCTTGCGTTCTCTCTCGCTCGCACAGAGCATAGCGCTCTCTTTCGTCATGCTACGTGCGAGCGAGAGAGAACGCAAGGGGCACGAAACAGAGTATGTCCTTTTCTACGTGGGCATCGGCCCCCACTCCTCAACACTCGGTCTAGATATACTATGTCTATGCTCCGTACATACTATAGATATATACTGGAATGAGCCATAAAGAAGGAGCGGCGCAATTTTGAGAAAGAGACAATCATATCACAGACCTGTCCTTGTTGTGATGTTTCTGATTGGCTAACGCAGAAAACTCTCTCCGTAAAAAAACCTTTCTCAACAACAGTGTTCAAAAAACTCTGCAAAATAGCTTTTGAGAAATATAACAATAATTTACCATGTTTCTATTTTTTCTTATATAAATCATAACTAATAATAATACTAATAATATCGATAATACACTTTCGATATCCAATAGAAAACGCGAGTTATAACTGATGACATTTTCGTCCCTAGAAAACAAACTCTCCCATTGGATATCGGACTTTGTACATACGTCGGCCATTAGTTGCAGTGTAAATTCTCCATTTGAATTTCAGACTCTCCGATTGGCTGTCGGAGGCTAGGGAACTTTTTATATTCCGACAAAGATTCTAGAAAGTTGGCAAATTCGCATATTCGTAAGAGCGGGAAATATTGTTGAACATCAGAAGAGAAACGTTTATCTGCTGATTTTTGTTAGATATGATATTGCACTGTCACTTTATGTCATATGATCAAGATGAGCGCAAAACTTAATAGCTTGATTAATCAAAAGGACCGAAAGCAACTACACGAATTCGTGCAGGAAACGTCTACCGAAGAGGTAAAGAAGTTTCAGAAACACGAGGCGCACTTTATCATTTGCACTTATATGAAGTAATGTTGATCTTTTATTGAATTGTTTCAGCTTACGAAATTAATATCGAGCGAAATTTGCGATCCAGCCATTTCCAAGATATTGGATGAGATCTTGCAAGTGTGCTCAGAGTCGGAAAAATTATATTCAAAGAGACTTAAATTGGTAGAATCTGCCTTGAAAGCTTTAGGCAAAGCCAAAGTTTCAATTAGTTATGCAAACGATATTGTAACTCGAATAGTAGAAGACTTCCCTACCTATCCAAAATTGCATTTAATTAAACTAGTAGATTTCTGTCTTGCCAGTATTCGCAATAATGACGACGACTTTAGAAGGTATATGAAAGGTTGACTTACGTATCCTTAATTAAATTTATATGAGAAACTGATTTTCAGCTGGAAAGATCTACTACCTGTTCTGTTGGAAGTATTGGAAGAAGAGAAATATATCAATTATATGAATGGTGAAGTTTCCGGTTCTAAATATAAGTCTATTATTGTTAACAATATATGCAATAGTGCATGGAATACAGAAATAATGCCTTCATTGACAAAAATGTTTAGGTAATATATTTGTGATTTTTTTTTAAATAAAATAAATATAAATGTGCCTATAGTAACTAAATTGATGACTTTTCTCTATTTAAGAGATATATGCTTACAAAAGGAGGATCATACTACAGTAATTACAGTGCTCTGCACAAGAATGCAGAATATACCTCTGGAGGAGGTGCCTCCTTTCGTGCATCAATCATTAAGATTATGTACTAATCAGGACAGTAAACTTCTCTTGGAGGCCTTACGAAGATATTTTACAGTACATTTCTCGCAAGCTAATTCTGAAAGCATCGACTCCTTTGAGACTATAGGTAAGGAGGTTCAATATATATAGTGACTTGAAATACATGTAAAGCTCGAAAAAAATTAAAATTTAGTTATTAAAATCTACAAAAATTAATTTAATGCACATCTCTGTTTTTATTTTAATCTTATTAATTTTAATTTTTAATTGCTGAATCACAGGTATAATAAATCCCAAGGAAGTCCAAGATATTGAAAGTACAGTATTATATCACATATATCAAGCGGCACAATTGAATCACCAGCTTATAAGAGACTATATTAAATATTTCAAAAGTGTGATACATGTTCCTGAAGCTGTATTAGAACCTTTTATGCTCTCTGTATTACTCACAGTTGCTCCTATTGATGAGAATCAGGTGATAAATCAATACATTAATTTTCCTACATTCTAATGCTTATTCTTTTAATGTTATCAGCTTAATATATACATTATAGGTTTTCGAGATGCTACGAATGATCATTAACAAACGAAAGGAAATCGACGATAGACGGAAGAATAGCGCGTGGTTGAGAAAGCTAATTTCCGATTCTTGTAATATTATGACTATAATGGGAAATGTCATCAACACAAGGTAAATGTGCAGTGTAAATATGTCAGAAATAATTTAATATCGAATTTTTTTTTTTAATGTGTAGTGACAGGGATCGCCATTTAGTGCTGAAAGGGCTTGTGGATCTTGCATTTGTTCTTATGACTGTGGAGAATAAGTCAAAAACTGGTGCACATCATTTATGGCAAGTTGGTATAAAGGTACTTCAAAAGATCATGAGAAAACATCACGAAACAGTAGCGACTGTATTTCAAATGTTGCTCGATAAGATAATCGCGGGTGGATCATGTATTTCTCAATATACCGGTATAATTTTTAAATATTCCGATATTTTAATATATAATATGTTAATCGCAGTTTGCAAGAATTAACAGCCACTAATGTCGATTGTTTATTTATAGATTGTTTAGCATACATGTGCCAGAAGTTAACAGTTCTTATGTTGGACCATCAAGATTCTCTGATAACTTTTCTTGATCAAATCTCGTTTATACCCGGAGAGGTTGCCATTTTCATTGTTTCTGCAATCTTTTCATTAATAAAAGTCTCAGTCACCATAAGAGAACATCTGATCATAACATTGAGGAAGATTCTCTACAGAAAAGGTACGGCAAATCGACAAATGGCAGTCAGTGGGATTTTAGAAATGTTAAAGAATTTGAAGATGAACTCTTTAAGCGGCCTCGCGATGAGCTCGAGTCAGTACATTAACAATTCATCGTCGACCGGCACAAGTTCTGCATCCATTCTCACTCAGGTTTTACTAATTCACATTTATTAATTATTACTGCAGAACTTACAATGCTTAAAATTATTATATAAGATTCTTTTTTTTGCAGGTAACATTAGAGAGAGGCACTCAAGTAACAAAATCTTCTTACAATAGAAGTTTATATTATGATATATTGGGCATTTTAAAAAGATGTTTTACTCATGAATGTGAAGTTCGATTACATTTATACAATGGTACACAAAATGAAAGATTATTACGCATTTTTGTTTCATATTAAATATTAAATTATCAATTTTATTTGATTGCCTAGGTTTATATGAAGTCGTATTGACAAATACCGAGATAGCGGAATATGTATTGGAAATGTTACTACCGCATTTTAAAATGTTCTTTGAAACGGACGAGAATGTTTTGGTTCCGGTTAAATTGGAACTGTGTACAGCTATACAAGGGGAAGAAGTTATATTGCAAGAACCTCTCGCGGAATTAATATTTATACTGCAAAAGATTTACATCAAGTCGGCTCTAGTAAAATCAACCCTTGTAGATGAGCTGGCTGTGATTTTGGAATCTCTATGCAGGCGAATGTCGCAACTTAACATAGAAGATTTAAATTTGGTAAGTTTAACAAAGAAGATTATATAAATTTAATAAAATTTGAAATATTATTTTTAATTATTTAATCTCTAACTATTCTTTCTCTCTTTCATTAGGAGGATAAGCTTGATTTAACTAACTCTGGCACCAAGAACCAAGAAAAATTGCAAAATGTTTTATTAACAATTAAAATTTATGAAGCTCTCATATCATTTAGGATCGGCGCATGGTCCGTAAACTGTACAGATACCGCACAGAGTGTTAAAAGTCTATTTAAAGGATATATGCGAGTAGTAGAATGTACCAAGGTAATAAAAGTATATAATACATACACATAATAAAATAAAAGATAATAAAAGTATAGTGTATATTTAGAGTTGAATATAAAATTTATTTTTATCCTTGTAGCGTGTATCAAAGGCTAAAAAAGGAGAAGGCAAAAATAAAAAGTCACAAAATGACACGAATAATATGACCGCAAAGAAAGCAGCTGGACGACTGAGAAACATAAAGCTATTATCTAGCATTTTAGATCTGTCTTCAGTGTACAAGAGCCTATCGCTCTTCTATTTGTAAGTATCTTTCGATAACATACAAATCAACAAATCTGATTATAAATTTATTATGATAGGAAATCCGTTCCTTGGGCGACTGCGGATCAAGTAGCTGTATTGATAGAGAATGTTGATTTCTACTATTACATTTTGCGAACACTACTGCAAATCTTACAAAATGTTAAACTTTTGACAGAATATAATTTACGCAAACATAAAGAACAGCACATGAAGATTTACTTTGACATTGGAAAGTAAGAAACATTTGTAAATATATGAGATGTTCATGTTTTTGTAAATTCTAAAATCTTTTTTAATATGTAGATTATTGTATGATTACATTATATTGGATTTAAAAAAAGTGCTCGATGAAGACGAACAAGGCACTATATTAGCATTAGAATGTTTCAAAGAATTATGTTGCTTAACTTGCACGTATTTCACTTCTGAATTGTCGCAATTTCTCAATGTTATTATTCGTAAGTATCTAAAGTATCTATAAAGAAGGGTATTTTCTCTCGTATATGTATATTATATGTATTAAATGTAATATTATTTTTTTACAGCTATTAGACCAACTCAATCGGAAAATCTTAATGCACAACTAGAGAACATGATTGCTGCTTTAAGAGCAAGTTTTCGGACGTTCTTTAGCGAAAAGGAAGAACATGAAGAGAATTCCAAAAAGATACTTGGCATATTGTTGGACATTATATATCAACTGACACAAGAGATCAACT